AATTATCGAATTCAAGATAAATATACCGAAATTGCCTGTAACCAAGTAAGTGATATTTAATTTCACCATAATAATCACAAAATTTAATTTTCATACATTTATAATATTTTTAAAAAAATTGTACACGTAACAAGTTGTTCGTGTACAATTTTTAACTCCGCCTACTAAAAATTGAAGTAGTCGATTCCAAACCCGGATAAAGGAGGAGGGTCTATCTTTATTTTTTTATTTATAAAAAATAAAAATGTTTTGAAAAATGTATATTTAAAAAATGGTTTACAAAATGTGTTTATACTTTACATATATATATTTTTTCAAGTTTAAGTATAAAATGGTAAACAAAAAACATATTACTCAAGTAACTCAACAAAACAATTTTTGTTCTTATTTTTTAAAAAATTATAATTTTTTTTTGAAAATGTATATTTAGAAATTAATCACAAAATATATATCTTTTACAATTAAACTAGTGTATAAAAAAAATGTATGAGCCGAGTGCTCGGCTTGGCTCGGCTCAGCTCGGCTCAGCTCATCGCTCGGCTCGTTTTGGGCGAGCTCTGGCACGAGCCGAGCTTGCACAAACGCCCATGAGCCGAGCCGAAGCTTGGCTCGTGGGTAACGAGCCACGAGCTCGACTCGTGCTCTCACGAGCCAAGCTCGTGTTGGCATGGGCCGAGTCGGCTCGGCTCGGCCCATTGCCACCTCTAACGTCAACAGACTTAGGCACTCAACCGTGGCTCGTAAGATTTGGTGAAACAGTAAGTTGTTTTTTATTAAGTAGGCTATGTCCGTCCTTGTCCACCACTATCATCGTCAACGGCCTTAATCACCATGACCTTTTACTTTATCCAAGAATTTTTGAAATACGAGTGCCGTAAGTATACAAAAACACACACTATTTTGTAGTTTCAACTTTCAAAATACCAAACTGACAATCAATTGTATCTTCTTGCTACACGAATTATTTTTCTTTCTCCTCATTTATGTGCTTCATCTTCAAAAAATTGTAATGGGGTCTTCGAATATTAGCAACGTTTTAACTTCCTTTAGTCCAGCTGTGTAAATGATTTTTTTGGAGCTAAAGTTTAAAGTCGTACGTCAATATCAGATAGAACAAAAAACTCACACAAATGGTACTATAAAACAATAGCGAAATCTGGAAAAAAAAGGTGTACCTGAAATTCAACCTCAAAATTTCGAAAAACCTACAAACATTTGTTACCATAAATAAGAAAACGAAACAAAGTAGAAAGCTACTGTACCACAAATGAAGCCTCGAAATCTCGCAAAAACAGAGACACTTGTTAGTGTTTCTCAAATTTACAAACACTATAGAGTAAGTAATCATTTCTGAAGCAGAAAAATGGATGATTCTTGGAATTTTGAAGAAAATCGAAGCAATAGAAAAGAGACTAAAGAGCGGCATGTTAAGAAATATAGTGTTATTTTGTTTTATTATTTATTAAGGGTAGAATAGTCTTTTTAATTTTCTTTGTTTTAGACTATATATAGTTTCTTTATATTTAGGTTTGTATTCAATTTTCATTATGCAGAATTAATGAATCCCTAACCTCCTATTTTTCTTTATTTTCTTTGAATTGTTTAACATGGTATAAGAGCAGTTTTGATCCTAAACAAATTAACCTTTGAATTTCGTGTCCGGCGAGCGGCCTTGAGCCGCTCGTCCGGCTACCAATGTTTTTCTTTTCTTTCTTTTTTTCTTTTCGGATGTATCCCTTTGGTTTAGTATATGTNATTAACCTTTGAATTTCGTTTCTGGTGAGCGGCTTTGAGTTGCTCGTCCGGCTACCAATATTGTTATTTTTCTTTTCGGATGTATCCCTACACATTTCGGTGGCCAGAACTCAGTTTCTGCAGTTTGTTTGGAGTTTCTTCAACTTTGGTAATCTGGAACTTGGTCCAGTTTATTCAAAGTTTGGTTTAGTATATGTCCAGTTCATCTGGAATTTGGTTCACTTCGTCTGAAATTTGATTTAGAATATGTTCAGTTCATCTGAAATTTGATTTAGTATATGTCCAGTTCACCTGAAATTTGATTTAGTATATGTCCAGTTCACCTGGAATTTGGTTCAGTATTGTCTAGTTCATCTGGAATTCGGCTCAGTTCATTTGGAATTTGATTTAGTATATGTACAGTTCATCTGAAATTTGATTTGGTGTTGATTCAGTGTATCCGAAATCTGAAATTTGTATCCAATTTATTTGGTATTGTTGAGCTGGAATTTGAAATTTGCGTCCAATTCATTTGGTATTTATCGAGCTCGAATTTGAAATTTGCATCCAATTAATTTGAATATGAAATTTGCATCCCTTTGGTTTAGTGGATGCGTTGGTTACTTGCAGATATGGGTGTTCCTTCTTCCTCTCNAATTTGAAATTTGCATCCAATTAATTTGGATATGAAATTTGCATCCCTTTGGTTCAGTAGTGGATGCGTTGGTTACTTGCAGATATGGGTGTTCTTTCTTTTTCTCCAACCCGTATTAAAATTGACTATCATCTGATTTCTCCTTCTATTTTCCGTTTTCGTTTTCTTGTTAGCAAACTCTCGATACTTCTAGCTGCCGCATCGTGAGTTTGAGGGAAGATGTTAAGAAATAGTGTTATTTTTTATTATTATTTATTAATGGTAGAATAATCTTTTTAATTTTCTTTGTTTTAGACTATATATAGTTTCTTTATATTTAGGTTTTGTATTCAATTTTCATTATGCAGAATTAATAAAACTCTAGCCTCATTTTTTTTATTTTCTTTGAATTGTTTAATACGGCTGACGAAAGGAAGAAAATGACGTAGGGTTTTCATTATTTCCCTATATATACAAACTAAAAACTACGTCATTTTTACCTCCAAAAACAAAGATAGTGTTGCAACCTATGGAAGATATCAAGATAAACCAAAAGAATTCCACTTAGCAATAGTAAATATTCAAACTCTCATCTTGTAGGATATACAAATGTTGACTGGGCTGGAAAACATAAATGATAGGAAAAATGCATTGGAGGTTGCTTTTACATGGGTAATAATCTTTTTATCTTGGTTAAGTGACAAGTGTAGTTTCTACACTTATTCGAGATTCTAAATGATGATATTTATTATTCTTTGAATAAAATACTACCTAACTTATTTTGTAGGTAAATACTATGTTTGATGAAGAATTGGAGAAAAGAATGCAAAGATAGCGAAAAATAACTCAATTGTATCAAATACAAAGTCTGATGACCAAATTACAAATATTCAACAGTTAGTTCGGACCACAAGATGATACTTTGAAGATTGCTAAGAGACGATTTGATGGAATTAGAACTCAAAAAGGAATGAATTAATCAAAATATTATCAAAATCAATTTCCAATTGTATGGTTACATTTCAATTTTATAGCCAAAAATTGAGACCCATTTTTGGCATTGTAGAAGTACAAATTAGAAATATTATATAGTATCAAAGTTGTAGGCCTTTGAGTTATCTTTCTAACTCAATTTGAATAGCCTCAATTGGATATCAAGAGCAAAAGTTATGGTCAAAATATTGTCCGTTGTTCAAAGGCAAATTCCCTTATTCGATTGTAACTCTTTTATAAGCCAATTTGGACGTGATTTTCAAATAATTTTCTACTCCAACAAATAC